GAGGAATACGCGTGAAAACACGATATCTGGTAGTTTCATGTTTCTGTATTTATCACAGTATGATTCAGTTTATTCAACGTTCAATGTTCGATGGATGGATATTTATTCAATTATTTTCCTTTTTTGACATACTGTGAATAAAAGAGAATGAGTACAGCTGAGACTTAAATTAACTTTAAATATTGCAGAGAAAAGAGTTTAGGTGTGTGAGTGTGTGTGAGTTTGCGTGTCAAGTTTCTGTTGGTTGGTAGTATTTGATAATCTACAAAATGGACAGAGTGTTGTGATCATCTTTCATCCATCGTTGACCTTTATTTATAAATGAAAACAAAATTAGTGAGTGAATATTCTCAACAATTAGTAATTGAGCTGTAGTCTTAAGAAAGAAATTGTCTGAGAGAGAATTTGTGTTTTATTTTAGTGAATGGTGACTAACTGTGGACCATCCTGTCTGAGACTTGACAGCTAGCTCGCTTTGGAGACTCGAGAACCTGCACTCGTTGGTTCAAACTCACTAGGAAGATCCTGGTGTATTCCGATGAGGAGTTTTAAATGAGGTAAATGTGCATCCTGGATTTTTATTTATATCACGATCAACCAAAGTATCACTTTGTTACTTAGACCGAAAATATTTGATACTGTGTTGATGAAACATTACAATATCTAATCTTCTGTATCTTTACCCGAACGTTGGTGGCATAAAGGTAGAATGCTCGCCAATCAAACATGTAGTCCAGGATTCGGTTCCCAGCTGGCACGCATCTTTACCTCTCTAAGCGGTTTATAAGCCCGACAAAGAGGGAAGATTAGGTATGAGACTAGTAATCCTAACTTGTAATAAACACCACTGCTAATGAGATTTCAGAGCTCTAGCTTGAAGTCCGCTTGGATTTCCACTTACTGCTCACAGGAATAGAATAAGTGTCTTTACTCGTAACTTACGTTTAACCCTATAGTGATTGATCAAAGATACAGTTTAATGTTAAGTTTGACGTCACGGTAAATACCTATTTAACGATAATAAGTCTGCAGTGAGAAGTCAACATGTTCTTTCCAAAATCTTATCTGTGGAAGGCAGAAGAAACCATGTCCTAAGATATTGTAATGATAATATAATACAGTTTCCAGAATTAAGCATGAAAACCCCAGTATTCGATGCTCCGAACATTCACATCTACCTATAAAATAAAATATACAGAAGTATAGAATAGTAGCAAAGAATGATGCCACGAGATTACTTACCGTAATCACATATTAGCCATTCTATACGTTATCATTTACTTACATAACTTTGAAGCCACTAAAGTCACTAAATTTAGAAAAAGTCAACAGAGAATCACAGTAGATGTAGCATTCTGACGAGGAGGAGTAAAAAGGAGGAAAAGTCAAACTCCACTTTGTAGCTGTGAAATTTGAATACATTTCAACAATAATAAGCGAATTCGATTACAGGATTTCATCAAGAGCTGACATTGTTTAGAGAACCATTGGAAAAACAGCACTTTAGTACTGCTAGATAGCTATTTCGTCGGTGTAGTCTTCGAATCTTGATCAGTGTGCATCCACGACAATCCGGTTATAGAGCGAACTCCAAGTCTATTAAGCCACTGGGACCGGATTCACTGGCCAGTCCATGAATTCAAACTTGTACCACTTCACGATATAGAGTGATTGATACTAGCCAGTGTCATCATTGGCGAGTATTTGTCCTTATATCCAACCTGATGCACCCCACTGGTCACGACTTCTCACCACAACCTAGGTAGCTACTAGCTGAATAGGGCCATTCGATAGTGAGCATCAGATTATTATTGAAGTGTTTCTTCGCAGGGGTTTGATTGGTTACAGGATTTCATCTCGAGCTGACATGATTCTGTAACCAATGTCAGCCCATGATGAAATCCTGTAACCAATCAATCAAATCGCTACAAACCAACATGTGAATATGCACTTTGTCTGTTCACAAATTTAATAAATTATATCCCAGTGAAATGATCAACAAAGTGAATTTCTCCCAACAAACCTGACACTTTCTGATGAAATATGTGAGTGGCCATCATCAGATTTCACTTAAAAATGTTAAATGAATGAGAATGGGGAACTCTTGCAGACCTCTACACCTTATGTGTTTTGCTGATTGGAAAAAGCATGAACAAACATAAGGACACACACACACAATGCGATGTAGGTTTCATCACATGGATACAACATCGAAAAACAGTAAGATTTCATCTCATTTTTAGAGTGCAGACAAGGAGTCTGTTGGATACGGAATCGAGTGGAGGAGCAGATATGGACTTATACCATTATCTAGTGCAAGAAACCTCCAATATTGAACTGAAGGCCTTCAAACAAGCTGAAGACAGACCAGAACATGAATTTAACACTTAGAAAATGAAAAATAAAACTACGAACGAAGATTTTCTGCAATCATTGCGAGAAAAGTCGACTACATTAGGCAGAATTACGTAGAAGACCTGCGCGACAGCATACTATAACTACATAAAAGCTAGAAAAGACTAAAGAGAACCGAGTATAGTGGCGGTTTACGGCCGAAGCCTGATGTTCCAATAAGAGCCCAGAGGCACGACTAATAATAATAATCACATTAGGAATACAATATTCAGTGGAGAGACTACTTTCAACAGATATATTATCAATGGATAGAATAATAACATGAAATGCACTCGCTGAAATGGGTCTCTTTGCTCAATACTATGTTCTTAATGTTAGAATGAGAATTATTAAATTATTGAGGCAGTCACATTATCCATGTTCACTGCTACGCAATGAATGATACAGGCATATCTATATTATCGCATGAATTTTACTCTCCAGTAGATTAGATTTCATGTGGTCTGAGGACACCATCAGAAATACACAATTCACCTAAGTCTTATATGCATTTGTAAATCGTCTATTTATCTTCATATCGATAGATGCAAGTCCACATCATACAGCATTGCGGTTATACATATAGTGTTTAGGTAGATCCGGTACACTTGACCTTGTATAATGTTGCGCTGGACGTGTTAATTCCCCAATTAAGAAGTGAATAAACCTCAATCACGAAAAAACTACATGACACCGTCCACTATAGACAACTGATAAATAGAAGAAATTGACATCATTCAGTGTGGTGAATTTCAATTTTATCTATACTACGTCAGTTAGTTACTGTCTATGTGTTTATTATGATTTATGTAGGCTATTTCATCTACATCTTGCCTCGTTACTACTCGAAAAGTTCATCTTAGTAAATCTTGGTATTTATTGTTAACGAGTCCAGAAAGGTGAGTCTGTGGCGTGGGGGTAGAATGCTCACCAACCAATCAAGTGGTCGGTGGTTAAGTCCTCAGCACTTCTCTTAGCAAATAATGAATCCGGCAAATAGGGGAGGTTAAGGGTAAAACTAACAATCCCACCTTGTAAAAATTAAACCACTGATGCGAAAACTTCAAAGCTCTAGTTTGAATCCTCTGTTCCGGTGTGAACACAAAGGAATAAAAGTTAAGAATGATAATAATAATAATTTGCTTTATTCCAAAACAGTACATGTGATACAGAATGGAATTCTTAGCATTTTTACTACAGTATTGCATCCAGTTAGTACATTATCAATAAATAGAAATCTGCATAGACTAAGGAAATCTCAATTCATTATTACAACAACACATTGGCATGTCGGTAGAAAAGGTAAAGCTGAACAGTGTTTGAAGGTGTTAGAAAAGTAGGTGCTATCATATCTACTGGCGTAAGCGGGAGAAAGAAACAAAGCAGCACATAACAGAAAAAAGAGAGGGATAGAAAAGGAAAAGAAAGAAAGAAGATGTTGTACCTATTGATGATGTGAGTTGGAAAGACGAGATCCAGTTTTTCTACTGACTGCTTAATAAGTTATATGTGTCACGCCTAATGCTTTCTTTATCGCACAGAACACGAGCTAAGTAGAGTATGGTTGAGTTTTTGTACTTGCTGGTGCGAGCATATAGTTTTCTATATTGGCTTCTGGTTTTGCCTGATGAGAGACAAGGGGAGAGTTATGAGTGAAGAGGATGGTGTGAGTTAGATAAAATGGACTTAGCCCATTTTTCACATGAGTCCATGTGCCTGTCAACCAGAATATTAACAAGCTGATTAAGTGGCACGTTGCTTACCCTGCTGACGACCTTTAACATCCTGCGTAACAAGGTATAGTCTTTCTTCAGTAGCCCGGGAAAAACTAAGCCCAGGGGAACAATAGAGAATAATAGGGAGAATGCGAGACTTGACGAATTGTTGGAGTAAGGGATGGGTAATACCAGAATGTCTTAACTTCTTGATGTAGAAGGTAGGACGGAATATTTTCTTAGAAATCGCCAAGATATTTGAAACAAACAGTACGAACCGGTTAACACACATAACCATCAGCTTTTTATGCTCACTCAATTTGTTTAACTAATCAGACGAAATGAGACATTAATTACGAATAAAATCTAAGCGATGTGGACCGTGAATACTAGAAGCTGGCTTAGTGTTTGTCACAGCTGACTACTTGCTTCTGCCTCTTCCGTCCGATTTGACTATTAATGTGAAAAATGATATAGTACAAAATGATTGGCTGACTAGTAGTAGTACGCCCTGAAACGAAGTGTGATTACTATAAGATTAAGATTTGGTTGGCAGTTACGTTTCTGAATTCAGTCATTGGAGAGTCAGACCATTCTTCTAACTCATGATGCAACTGACATCATTTCACCCCTCCATGTATTGTAGTAATACTTCACGCCTTCACAAATAATGTGAATAAGAAATCATTGTGAAACAAATCCAATTGGTTGTAAACACTTTGGACAAAATCTTGTGACTTGTATTGCAAGTGTATATATTTATATATAAACTGATTTGTTAGGACATGCTAATGTAATATAACGATATTTGATACAACTATGGACGTATTTGTCTGCACTGTTTTACTAGCTCTACTGCAAGTCAGTCCACGAGTTCATTCATTTTCGGCTATGCAGAATGCTGAAACTACGCAGCCGTCAGTTGTTACACCAAGCTCTACTTCACCTGCTGATTCACAGGATGATAAAAGTGTACACATGGAAGTGATGACAACGCCGAATGTTACGGGAGACGCAGAAAACACAGAAAATTTACCAAAAGAAGAAAAACCAGAGCACATAGTTAAAATAATTGATGTAGCAGTGGAAACACCCCCGGAATTTTACAAACCGAAAACTCTAGATGACACAACACTGTCGTTTTATAAAACAATAGTCAAAATTATGGAAAGATTATCAGAAGCCTTTCATAAAATATACAGAGATGTAGAGAAATTCAAGGAAAAACTCAAACCGAATAGAATCTGAGAATATGCTGCAGTGAAGTGAAGTTTTTTATGCACGTAACATCGAGATTACATTCAGTGACTGAGTGTTTCGTTTTTGCTCATGTATTGTGAAACTGAGTCTCTTTTATTTATCAAATATAGTTTCTGAAAAGATTTGTCAATACACTGTTTTCCTTATTATCGGTGTTATTTTTGTTGTCTCGTTTAGTTCCTAGAGGAATATAGGGCTTCAACCACACGTCTACAGTGCGTTCGGTTGTCTGTCGACGCGTTAACCTGACTCCACGTCTACCCATGTGCTTTGGTCTCATCTTCGTATCACCTCCTCCCACACATCACCCTCTCGCTGACGACCAACTCGTCACTTCAGATTCGGGTTCAACTAGAGAGACAGCCTGGTGTGTGATGTCACTTGATGGTTTGTTTCCCCTGAGTATGCTCTCCAATTCACCTCCATTTCTTCCTGAAATCATAAAATTCTGGCATTGTGTGAGACAATCTCGGCTAGCAGATTTATTCATTTGACTACAGCAGAGCAGAGCAGAGCCGAGTGGAGTAGAGTAGAGTAGAGTCGGTCGTTTGAAATGAGAAACAGAAAATATCTGTCATCCAAAATCATGAATCACGAAACTACATGATGAATATTCTGTTAATGGCTTGTCTACTGAAGGAAGTGTTAATGAGACCTGCGGTTTTCTTTCGATTATGAATCTGGTCATCTAGAACTTAGAATTATATTCAGAAAAGAGTCACAGGTAAAAATGGGCTGAGGGTTGCGGTTTATCATGATTAGCAAACCTCCTTGAAGTAATCATGGTTGTCATAAGAATAAGAATAATCACTTTATTCAAGACAACGATCACGTGTTATATTACAACTAATTCACTCCTTCTGAGAATGAAATCGAAAAATCTAACTCATAAATCGGTGAAGTCTGTTATGTAGTGCAAACAGATAGTCATTTGATTCATACTGTTCGTATACTTGATTCATTTGTCGTTACAGTCCACTGCGACATTATCTGTTTCAGTTTGGTGAAGGAGCACAGATCATCAATTTCAGGACACATTTGAAGAAGTTGAATCACAAACTAAAGATTTATTTCCAGGCAGTATATATTTTATAGGAATAGATGTATCAGTGAATAATTCCACAAGATTATCGAAGAGCAGGTTTCATCTGATTCAACACCGGGAGGAGGTCTTGCTTGTTTACGTCTGTTGGTTAGGCTAAAGGTGTACCATTTGACACACTGTTCTGTTGTGTGTGGTTGTTCGGAACCTCACTGTGTAGCTAATTAAGCAAACATCATCGTGAAACCGTTCTTATCCCAAGATACATTTTGTATTTTAGACATTCTGTTTGTTCTACTGATGATTAGCCTTCGGAAGATTTGCCTGGTCTATGTAGAACAAGTACATTGGGAGTTGTATTACATAAAATTACATTTTTATATAAAGGCGTCTTGTGTTCCTGGTGACATCACTCATCTTCTAAAAGGGTATTTGGGTCATCCAAGTTTCAAAACGGCATATATATATATATATATCACAAGTATGAATGGTGATCTGCTTAGGACTTGCGCTACCAGCAACTTCCAACAATATATTACATTTCATTTCAGTGTTTTGACATCTAGTTATATCAGACTTCCAATAGTATTATTCACATTGATGATCATTTAGAATATTTACAAACTGCAGATTCTCTAGTTTCTACTAATCTTGAGGAAAAGAACTATCCTCGATGTCAGCTTATCCCAGTATATGAGGTGATCGTTCCTCACTGGTATCCTTGCTTCATAATATGTACGTCTAAACTTTCTGTATTTGTCATTCAACATAATGTCGTCTTGTATTTCTCGAAGTAGTCAGAGAAGAGAAATCGTAATGGATTAGTTTCGTCTTTTGCACTGTAGTAGAGTATAATTCCATCATGGTTAAAATTTGTTTTGATAAAGTAACACAGTGTTATACAGTAATGTTTACTGATGACGTTTCGAGCACAATTTATTGCTCATAATCATATCATATCCTTGATATGATCTGAGGCACTATGGAAGAGTAATAGGTTGTGTGAAAAATACAAAGGACTTCCACTTCAAAGGACTCTGAGTATTTTCGTGTAACTAGCGCTGAGGTGATGAGCAACCTAGTTTCTAGGTCTGTTCACATGCAAACGCATCCGCAGGCGGGTTGGAAATTGATTTAGCTAGTACTAAGTTAATTCAGTCTGGCTGATTTATTTTAGGCGCAGTTTTGTTTTGATGCTGTGTAAAGTGTACTGTATGCCACTGAATTATTCAAAGTTTTATGAACTGGCGATAAAGTAATGTCAGTAATGGACAAATTGTTTGGAAAGTCACTCCACAACGATCCAATTATAATATTCATACTAATTTACACATTTCAATTAGCTAGCAGTTAACGCGAACACTTATAAACCTTATTCAACAACTATTCGATTAATACGCCTACCAATTAATTCACATTAGGGAAAACTCACTTAAAGTGTTTGTAGGTGAAGTCAAGAGTTAGACAAGCCTGACTACTATCGCCAAATCATCTCAGTACTCGCAGTGGACTGGATCATGTGATAGGCTGTGGGGAATGATGAAAAGATGAGCATGCGTTCTATCGAAATGGCGAGCGATACATTACCGCAGTTTTTCATTCTATTCAGATCCCAACAGAATACTACTAATAATAAGTGAAACTAACAGTGGTGATAAATACAAAAGGAATTGTATACAAACACTATTCAAGACGGCCAGGACTCATTGCAGCATTCCCACCTTAAGGAAAATTGAAAAAAGATATCTCATGGACGTCTTCCACAGGAACGGATATCCACGGAACTTCATCAAAATACATATACCTTTAAGCCGTCAAGCTACCAAATCAAAGGCCGTCAAGGAAAGCAGAAAGAAAATAGCCTTACCATATATAAAAGACAACATCTCAGAAATCACTGCAGGACTCTTCAAACCTCCAGGAAATGAAGTCGCACACAAACCAACAAAATCACTTCACCCAACTGGCTCTATGTCAACTAAGAGACTCAACAACGAAAGGAGATAAAACCAATATCATCCAGAAAATAAATTGCAAAAACTGCGAAAAACAGTACATTGTCCTAAGTGGACGCCCGTACTCTTCGTCTTTGTATCTATGAACATAAAAGACACGACATCCACTCCTTCATATTATCTCACTGCATACAGACAACCACAAACATCAATTAGACAGGGATAACGTTCAAATATTAGACAGAGGAAACACCAAGAATGCTAGAGAATTTTCAGAGAATTTTCTGTGAAACGGGAATCAATAAACACATTGACATAAACAAAATTTACCAACCGATAAGAAAGAAATCTCACACACAAAGGGTCAAACTTCAGGTTAAGGAAGCAATCATCAACAATACCAATACAAGTAGCCTAAAGAGTTCGAAAACACATAAAGACAACCAACCAGGTTCAGGGTCACCAGGAAAGATGACAAGTAAACTCGTGGAAAAATCTAAGTATGCTCTGAAGATGTTGCCTAGTCTTGAGACAATGAAAGCTTGGCAAATTAACTATCCAGCTCAGAGAACACAATCAGATCAAAATACGCTTTCGTGTTTGAAAAGCGGAAACCGTTTTTGATTCTCTGAAGGCTGCTAAATACAGTAAATTCCACGAATCATTTCTTTTACTTATTACTAAATAAAAACATGACCTGTAATCGAGGAACTGAATTTCGACATAACGCCAGTTGAAACAATAAGCCGTTTTTCTGACAACATTTTGATGACCATTCACTTATTAAGAGAAATATGGAAAAGTCAAAGTTAAGTTATGTAGATGATACGTTTGTAGTGCTTAAACGAGATCTAAAGAGTTCATTCTTGGAGAAAGTGAACAATCTATCTCCTAGTGCATCCATTTCTCTTTTTTTTAAGCAGAATCAAACGTCGGTGAACTTCCATTTCTAGACTGTCTCTTTAGGCAAGAGGAGGGAAAACGAGCATTTTAGTAAATCTATATTCAGGAAGAAAGCCCACTCCAACAAATATTTAGACTTCTGATCATCACACCAAATCAGCGCAAAGGTATCAGTTGTTTTAAGTCTTTTTAAACGAGCACACTCTTTGATGTTGACAGATGAAAAGGAAAAGAAGAAGAAATATCAAACATTACTGAAACTCTCAAGGAAAACAACTCCCCAGAGAACTTCATCAACAAAATTAACACCGACATTAAATATGGTTGAAAAGGTAATGCGAAAAAATTGGACCTCACCAAATGTCATTCCATATAGACCATCAGATACGTCAGATGATATCAGAAGAGTACTCAAATAGAACTACATCAGAGTTTTCTTCGAAACATCAGACACAAACACTATAAATTAACCTTGTTCACATAGAAGACCAAGTCTCTTAGGATTCTCAATCTAATTCTGTCTACAACATAAAATGCTCGGAGTATGATGCGTATACACTGGATAAACATCGCCACAGAAAGAAATAAAAGTAATCAGAAACAATGAACACCATGGGGCACCTGTTTAATCACCAATAAATCCAGTTGAACTACGAAAGCTCTAGAAGTTATCAGCCATAGCTAGTCTACACGCTATAGAATCAGGTCACAAAATTGATTTTGTCAATATTCAAGTTATCCCGAAAAAATTCAGAAATCAGAAAGAACGTCTCACATCGTCAGAAGCACTTCATATCAAAAAATCCTATGACGTAATTATTCGTTGGCAGTCGTCTTACGAAAAATCCTGTGTGATAAAATTCTTTCTGTTGAAGTTTGGGAACGGTCATCAGCCGAATTCACTTGGAAATATTAAACGAATGAGAATAGAGAACTGTTTACTGGTTTCTGCACCATTACATCTTATGCTGCTTGAAGACAGCATGAACAAGCAAAATGATACAGACAAGGTGATGTGTGCTCCGTCAAATGGATGTAAGGTTAAAAATCAGTTATACTTCATCTCAATTTCAAGAGAGTGGAGACACGAGCTGTTAGGCACAAAATCGAGAAGAGTAGTAGATATGGGACCAAACAATTGTCTAGTGTAAGAAACTTTCAAGACTGAACTGAAGGCCTTCAAAGAATCTGAATACAGAGCACAACGCAGGCTAAACACTTAGAAAGTGAAGGAGGAAACAATGAAGAGAAGCTTCGCTGAAGTCACCTGGACAAAAGTTGACTACATTAAGCAGAATCATTTAGAAGATCTGAGTGAAACAATACTAGGACTGTTTGAAAGTAACATATAAGAAAATCTGTATAGTCTTAGAATGGAGAGACATTCATGATAAAGAATGTCTCCTTACTGACACCTGAAAGTTGGTTGAAGCAGAAGATGAGTCAATGAAGAAATGAAAAACCAAAGAAGGGTTTGAACATGTTCGAAAGCGCATTTCGATAAGATCCCTGAGGATGAACGCTAGGTAAGACAGCAGACTGACTACTGAAGCAGAACAGGCTACAGATAAGAGAGATTCTATAATGCTATGTCAGATAATCAGGTCGCTACTGTGAAACAGGTAAATTCAGACGAAACCAGGGAAGGATGGTGAAAGCAGCTAATTATCAAAGTGCACAAGCAGAAAGAACTATGGGCTGATCGCTTCAAAGGACACCTGAATCCACCACCAACCACAGGTCCTCCGAAAATACCACCAGAAGACACAGAACTATTAGCGGAAACCCAGGAACCCCATTGGAACACAGGGGACAAATAACAATGATAATTACATTAAGAACACAATATTCAGTGAAGAGACTCTTTTCAACGAATTCAACATCAGCAGACAGACTAATAATATTAGTATGGGAGGCACGAGATATAGTTTATTCAAGACGATAAATACGCATAAGAATGTATTGCTTGATAATAAATTCGTTGAGAATAGTCTACTCACTGTATATTATGTTCTTAATGTTACAATGGGATTATTAAATTATTGAGACAGTCACATTATCCATGTTCATTGCTACGCAATGAATGATACAGGCATATTTATATTATTGCATTAATTTCACTTCCCGGTAGATTAGATTTCATATCATCTGTCAAGGAACTTAGACCTAAGTTCCTATTGTGACGTAGGCGATTGGAAGCGATAATGACTAAGTATTTCGTTTCAACTTTAAATCCGAAACACCAGTATTCCTTGAACGAATTTTTATTGTTTGGCAATTAAAGCGAGACAAAATACAGAGTCTACAAACAAATGTTTAGTACAAATGAAGTTATAAAGTACTTTTAATCGTATTCCTTTCCGCCTTCATCCAACTTGCAAGCGATCGAACCATTCGCGCCTTCGAGTTGCCCACCAATGGTTGCCAGTTCCAATAAACAAACGTTCAATGTTCACGTCCATTGACATGCTCTGAGGACACCATCAGAAATATACAATTCACTTAAGTCTTACACGCATTTGTAGGACATCTATTTATCTTCCTGAGGACAGATTCAAGTCCCAATCATCCAACACTTTGAGGTTATGCACCTACCATTGAATATTTCGCATACAGCTGGCCTTGTGTAATATTCCGCTGGACGCATTAATTTCTCACTAAAGAAGTGAATAATAATAGTAATAATTTGCTTTATTCCAAAACAGTACGAATGATATACAGTGTGGAATTTTCATCATTTGGTACATTACTGCATCTAGAATTTTATTGAATAACATTAAAAACGATTTTAGGAATAATATTATAGGATTTTTAATGGCAATTCTTCTTTAGAATTTGTAGTGACAGTGGAGTCATAGATATACAACAAATAATGGTAATAAGAAAAAAGTAGTTCAGCGAAGAGTCTCTTTGCGGCGAATTCATTCACTTAGCTGTACAGTCGCAAATATATATACAATTATTTTGTGTGTGTCTGTGTGTGTACATTAGGTTTGTCAAAATCAAAATCAAAATAACAGTTAGTGTGGGTTGTTCATTATATCATCAAAATAATAAAGAAATTAAAATGTGTGATTAATAATCAAAGTTGTAATTAAGTGGGTTGAAGATTGGTAAGATGTGAGTAGGGTTACATCATCAAAATAATAAAGAAATTAAAATGTGTGATTAGTAATCAAAGTTGTAACTAAGTGGGGTGAAGATTGGTAAGATGTCAGTAGGGTAACGTAATATAGACATGTTTAGAAAGATTAGATGCTAGTGAAGGAGTATGGAGACAATTATGAAAATAAACTAGATAATAGGTGAAAAGATTGAATGGGATAGTTACTGAAAGTAGAAACTAAAGTAGAAATCAATGAGACAATCTCCTTTCTGCATGTTCGTTTAAGTAAGAAGACCGATGGTACTTTGAACAGATCAGTACACAGAAAACCTACATGGAATGGTCAGTTGACAAACTTCTACAGTTGGGTACCAATTAGTCAAAAGCGAAACTTGATAATATCTCTGGCGACTAGAATCCGAAAAATCTGTAGTCCTGAATCAATAGAGGAAGAGATCGCCCTCTTAAGGAAGACACTGCTCGAGAATGGCTACCCACCCCGTTTTATAGACAAGCATATTAAGCGTAAGACTCACAAAGAACAACCCATTACAGTGCAGAAGAAGATGGTCTACATGAATGTACCCTTCAAAGGTGACCTTCTGGCTGACACCTTGAAGAAGAGCATATCTACTTCTCTCAGAAGGACATTCTTCGCTGCCACACTACGACTGACATTTTCCTCCAGGCCATTATTCTTCAACTACTCTAAATATAAACTATAGCATTTGACCACTTCCATGTGTATCTACCAATTCACCTGCTCTTGCGGAGCGAGGTATATAAGTCGTTCGATGAGAGTTTTATCTAAAAGAGTTCAAGAACACTATCCCGCCTGGCTACGGAAAGGTAACAATGGAGCAATAAGGAGCGCCATTATTGAGCATATACTCAACACTGGTCATTCGATTTGCAAGGATAAGTCGTTCAAAGTCATCTATAAAGTCAAAAGAAGCCTTCCAAAATCGACAAGCTTCCGTATACTTTGTATTGCCGAAGCCGTAGCGATTTGGATAGAAAAGCCTGATTTATGCACACAGAAGAAACTTCTCCACCCTCTCCTACTACCGTGGGTTTAATTTCAAGTTTATCTGTCATCAACATTTTGTTATCAAATTTTTTTGCAAACTTCGTATAATAATTTTTAGTAACTAACCCATTCAATCTTTTCACCTATTATCTAGTTTATTTTCATAATTGTCTCCATACTCCTTCACTAGCATCTAATCTTTCTAAACATGTCTATATTACGTTACCCTACTGACATCTTACCAATCTTCACCCCACTTAGTTACAACTTTGATTACTAATCACACATTTTAATTTCTTTATTATTTTGATGATGTAACCCTACTCACATCTTACCAATCTTCAACCCACTTAATTACAACTTTGATTATTAATCACACATTTTAATTTCTTTATTATTTTGATGATATAATGAACAACCCACACTAACTGTTATTTTGATTTTGATTTTGACAAACCTAATGTACACACACAGACACACACAAAATAATTGTATATATATTTGCGACTGTACAGCTAAGTGAATGAATTCGCCGCAAAGAGACTATTCGCTGAACTAATTTGTTCTTATTTCAATGTCTTAATGGGTATATTTCGCGAATTAAAAATAATGGTAAATAGTAAACACAGTATATATATATAAACTTATTGATTGTCAGTTATTCGAAACAGTGTCCCCATAGAATACAAATGGGAGACAATAAAAGGTCCAGTTATTTTGCTAACAACGTGGTAATTCATATGTTTCACGCTTTACATTGTCTCTTTTACATAGAACACGGGCTGGCCAAATATGGTGTTGTTGACTTTCTATACTTGTTGGCTCGAGCATGTAGTCTTTTGTACTGACTTCTAGTTCTACCAGATGAGATACAGGGCAGGGAGTGTGGAGAAAAGAGGAGTTGGATGTTGAGGATCAGACAATATAGACTTTGACCATTTCTTGCATGATTCCAGCTGTCTGTCAACGAATGATGTGACCAGTTGACTAAATTGCACACCACTTGCCCCTCTGAAAACACCTAATACCCAACTCAGCATGACGTAGTCCTTTATGAGCAGTACAGAAAAGACTCAGCGGGAGCAGTAAAGTCCAGTAGGTAAGATACAAGAGTTAACCAACTGTAAAAGTACAGTTTGAATGATTCCAGATTGTTTTAGCTTCTTAATGCAGTAGCTTAGATGGGACATTTTCTCGAAGATCGATGAAGTATGGAATGACAAGCTAAGGTCAGAGGATACAATCATACCAAGGTATTTTGTGTTAGACCTAGTTTCTATTAAACTCTCCTCTATGCTACAAGCATCGTAGTATTTTAATTCAGTCATTGGAGAGGCAGGCAATTACCAGAAGACGATTGGTTCAACTCCTGATGCAACTGACATAATCCCACCCCTCATTGTATCGAAGTAGTATTATGTCATGCCTTCACAAATAATGTGAATAAGAAATCATTGTGAAACAAATCCAATTGGTTGTAAACACTTTCGACAAAATCTTGTGACTTTTATGTCATTTAGATATATTTATATAAAAACTGATTTGTTAGAACATGCTAATATGATATAACGATATTTGATTCTACCATGAACGTATTTGTCTGCACAGTTTTACTAGCTTTACTGCAAGCCAATTTAGGAGTTCATTCAATGCCGGATACACAGAATGCTGCATCCACGCAGCCAGCAGCTCCTACAGTGGCACTGCAATCAACACCAACTTCTAGTCCACCTGTGAAAGGTGACACTGGAAACTCAAGAGAAGGAGGCAAAGATAAATCAGTCAGTGTCGCAGTGCAAACACCCCCGAAATTTTACAAACCAAAAACTTCACATGACAAATCTTTAGCGTTTTATAAAACAGTAATCAAAATTATGGAACGATTATCAGAAGCCTTTCACAAAATATACAGAGATGTGGAGAAATTCAAGAGACACCTCAAACCGAGTAGAATCTGAGAATATGCTGCAGTGAACTGAAGTTTGTTTAACACGTTACTTTGAGAATAAATCCAGTGACTGAGTGTTTTGTAATTGTCTTTGTTGTTTGTTTTTGCTCATGCACTGTGAAACTAAGTATGTTTAAATTATCAAATATAGTTTCTGTGGAAATATGTGAGAATGCAATGTTTTCCGTATTATGATCATTATTGTTATTATTGTCTCGTTTAGTTCCTCGAGGAACATAGGGCTTCAGCTGTACGTCTCCATTGCATTCGGTTCTCCGCCAACGTGTTCACCTGACTCCACGTCCAGCCGCATGCTTTCATGCACTCTTCGCGTCACCTCCTTCCCCAATGTCACCTTAACACTGCAGACCAACTAACTCGCCGTTCCCGATTTGGATTCTATTCGACAGAGAGATAGAGAGCCTGACGTGTGATGCCACTTAATGGTTTGTTTTTTCAGAGTATGGCCTCCAATCCACCTCCATTTCTTCCTCAAATCGAAAAATTCTGGCACTGTATGAGACATCCTCCGTTAGCAGTTTTATCCAATAGACTACAGCATAGCCGAGTGGAGTTGAGTAGAGTAGATTAGATCGTTCAAATGTGAAATAGATAATATTTGTCGCGTGAAATCATGAATCACCAACCTACATGATGAATATTCAGATAATAACTTGTCTACTAAACGAAGTGATAATGAGACTTGTGCTTTCCTTTTAATTGTCAATCTTGTCATCAAGACTTTTGAAGTATAATCAGAAACGAGTCACATATTTAATTGAGCTGAGAGTTACGGATTATCATGATTAGCAGATCACCTTGAAGTAATCGCGGTTGTCATACGAATAAGAATAATCACGTTATTTTAGATTACGAGTATATGTTATAATGGTACTAATTCACTCCTCCTGAAAATGAAATCTAAAAATCTAACTCATAAATCGGTGAAGTCCGTAAACCAGTTCACCAGTTTGTACCTTTAACATCCTCGTTTCATTTGTCGTTACAATCCACTACGATATTCCCTCTTTCAGTTTGGTAAAGGATTACACAAATCGATGGATTTGATGTCCAATTTCAGGACACATTTGACCAAATTGAGACGCAAACCAAAGGCATATTTTCAGGCGGTATATATTTGATAGAAATAGATGTATCGGTGAATAATTTCACAAGATTATCGAACTGCAGGTTTCATTTGATTCAAGTCTGGGTGCGGATCTTCCTTGTTTGTATCTACTGGTTAAACTAAAGGTGAACCATCTGGCACGCAGTTGTGTTACGTGCGGTGTTCGTAGCCTCACTGTGTAGCTAGTCAAGCTAACATCACGGGCTACCAATCTTATCCCAAGATACATTTTTTACTTTAGACATTCTGCTTATTCTACTGATGATTAGCCTTCGGGAGCGTTTCCTGGAATAATTAGGATCAGTAGATTGGGAGTTGTAGGATATAAACTTGCATTTTTACATAGGATTATCTTGTGTACGTGGCAACGTCATTCATCTTCTAAAAGGGTATTTGGTTCGTTGAAGGTTCGAAAAAGCTATCAGTTCATATTTGGCATACATATATGTATCATTGATGTATGGATGGCAGCCTGCTTGACAATTTGGCTACCGAAACAACCTCCATCAATACACTGAATATAATTTCTCCCATTCAGTTTGCTTAAGTTGATTAGAGTATGACCTAGAATAGTACTGTTGACTCTGGCAAGTATTCACAACATTTACAACCTGATCTAAAAGTTTCAACTAGACATGAAAAGAAGCATTATCACCGATAACAACTTATCCCAGTACATTGGAGAACTTTTCCTCAGTGGTGTCCCTCGTTCACATAATACACTCCTGAACTTTCTATGATTGTCATTCAACAAAATATTGGCGATAACTTGTCCAAGGAGACAAAGGAGAGATAGCGTAATGAATCGGTTTGTGCTTCATGTCAGGTAGAACTGTGTCACACGATTCACTGTCAACTAATGCTATATTTGAAGATCCTGAAGGAAGAAGAAATATCACGCAATAAACTCCACTCAGAATTCTGTACATTGAATAAACACTGTTCAAAATAAGCCTGTTGTTATTATATGACTTTATTATATAAGGAGATTTTATTTTTCTGGGTAACGTGGTTGATTCATGTATTCACAGTGCATTACCGATTTCATGAATTTCGTTTTCATTGTTGGTTTTATGGCCTGTGGTCATGTGGTAGTCCGATACAGAACTGTTGACAGTTTCAACAGGCGACAAAGCGAACACTGAAGAATCTTCCTCTGTTATCTCTAGGGTACCAAATAAAATACCAAACGCGTCTGTAGGTACTGAACACTCCAGACAGCATAGGTCATTGCAGTTCGCTTAAAACCACTGAAGGTCTGTGTGCAAGAGAAGCAGGTCCAGTCAACATTACTACTCCAGCCTGTTGTCGAAACTCTAAATTTATAAATTCTACGTTATTTCCCCTAATTTATTTCATATTCAGTCTAGGGTTATATTGAAACGCATTAAATCTTAGTCACTGATGCTTTTCAAATCTCATCTGTCGATACACTAGCGATTTAATGTAATCTGAAACATTTTTGTTGTCAGCGACAATATTTCTGTAGGTGTCACTGTCATATAAATTGAGAGTTTGATGACGAATTTCAAATTACCGGTGCTCATTCCTTGGAAAAGACGAAGGAAAAGTAACATGAGGGATTATTCTATGCTGCAGATAGGGCAGTACTGTGTCACCTGATACACTACGGATTACTATTTCACTTAAATTAAACAACGCTGAGAATCCCGTATATTGTGTAACGTTTCTGTGCAGAATGAAGCTATCAGTGCTGGTGAACATTGATATGTTTGTTTATTCGGAATGATCCCCATTCGGCGAGAGACAAGAAGGCTATCTTAACTCAGTCGTAAACTGGTTGACAGAGGACTAGAGAAATACGATTAGAAGTATTATTCTACATGATATTGACATTTTTTTACAGACTCTGCGCGTAGTAACTTGTGAATCTGTTTTGTTATTGGTGGGAGAACAAACAGTCTTATTAGCCTTTTGTCTTCTATTGTTCCGCGTCGGTTAGCATGCATAGTATTCTGCGTATTAAGCGCAGTCTTCTGGAACTGGTGAGAAGATTGTGATCTCTGAGATCTGGACAGTTGACAAAAGTTGTTATTATTGTCGAAATGTACGAATGACAGTAAAATGCTCTGGGTTTTCTCTGGTTAATCGGTACTTCCCATTAAACAACAACCTTGTACCTAAAAGTTCAGTTTCTGTTGACATACTGGTCACTAGTACAGACTCTGTGACGACGTCTGAAGTTAAGCATGTAGTCATCTTGAAACATGTATTTAAAAGTGGATTCCACTGCTAGTCAGAATCAAACAAAAGAACACCGTGCTTACATCTAGAATGCAATTAACAAATTACAACGTATGGCTTATTGATAATATCTGAGTGAAACACATAAGAAGAATAAGAAAGTTTCACCACAATTCTTGAACTTGAAATAGTCATATGCACTACGCAAGTGTTGGTTTGTAGGGATTTAATTGGCTACAGGATTTCATCATGAGTTGATGTCACTTAGAGAACCATTGAAAAACCAGGAATTGAGCACTGGACAGTCAGCTGTTTTATCAGCCTGATTTTTGGAATCCTCACCACTGCTCACCCACCCCATTACTAAGGTTACGACCCAAGACCTTCTAAATACAAGTCAAGACAGCTCGTAGAATAATAAGCCAATGGAATCAGACTCAGTGACCGGTTCAAGAATCCCACGTTCACTCTACTATACATAAATTACGCCGGAGAAAGGAAATAGTCATATCTCCTCAGAAACTCAAGTTATAATGAACACAATTTATTCACTGATTTCAGAAGGTCTGAAACGAGTTTTGACGAGGAAAACTCAACTGTTTTAGTTTTAACGCAGAAACTGCATCAACGAAATAAAGTCAATATGTGATTGTCACAAATCCAGGAGTGATGTACAGTAAAGATTCATATTTTCTTACCATATCAAAACACAACTTAAGATGTTAAGATCTGCGGAACTATTAAACAGTATTAGGTTATGTGAGAAATACAGAATTTACTTCAAAAGACTCTGAGTATTTTCGTGTTACTAGCGCTGAGGTGATTAGTAGACCAGCTTCTAAGTCTGTTTGCATGCAAACTCATCCGTGAGCGGGCTAGACAGTGATTGACTTAATGTTGAGTTAATTCAGTCTGACTGATTTATTTTAGCCGCAGATGTATTTTGATGCTGTGGAAAGTGTACTGTAGACCACTGAGTTATTCTACGTTTTATGAACTGGCGATAAAGTAATGTCTGTGATGGACAAATTGTTTAGAAAATCTTTTATGCACCATCTGTATATAATATTCATCCCCGTTTAACCGTTTCAACTAACTGTGTAATTCAAGTATTGGTTTGCAAGGATTTGATTGATTGATTGTTTACAGGATTTCATCATGAACTGACATAGGTTAGAGAACCATTGGAAAACCTGAAGGGAGCAGTGGACAGCTGTTCAGTTAGACAAACCAATACTTGAATATCAATGAGATGCTCACTTGCAACTGGCCCTATTCAGGTAGGGGTTGTAGTGGGAAGTCGTGACTAGTAGGGTGCAGCAGGTCGAGTGTGGGGAAAAATACTCGCCGAGGACATTAACTAGTGGTCGCACTATTTCATGAATTGGCAGAAGTTGGAATTCATGGGCTGGCTGGCCATTGGAATGGGTCCCAGTGGCTGAATGGTCTATGAGCTAGCTCGCCTTGTAACCGAAACGTCCTGGATTCAAACCCTAGCAAATGTGTGTGCGTACTGATGAGGAATCCAAAAGTAGGCTGACGAAACACCTGGCTATCCGAGTCGTCAGCTCGTGATCAATCCATAAGCCGATCAAATCCCTGCAAACCAACACTTGGGAAAAATAATAATTCTTAGTAAGGACCATTTATCCAAGGGAAAAATATACTTTACTAAGAATGATTCTCACTGTACATTAATTTGAATGACAACAATATCGCCAAGTCTTCATGATAACGGCACATTTGGAGGATTATTCAACACCTAGCTCAAAGATGTGATTCGATTACTGAAAGATCGTGTCGACAAAAGAGGAGATATTTGGCTAATCCTTCACATCT